TTCTAAAGCACTAAAATAACCCAGTCAACCCATGAACATTCTTGAACAGACAACATATTATCATGTTGCTCTCTTAAGACTTATCGTTGACATTCCACAGCCGTATTTGGGTTCATATATTGTCAATATGTCACCTGGTGGAGAAGTGACACAAATGAACAAAATGATTGACAGCTTTCACCCTCAGCTGTTAACATTAACATTGACCAATAGCATTTATTGACCTCAGTTAGTGCTTCTAAATTTAGCAGGTGATAATCCACTATTTACTTTTAAAATTAGCAAAAGCCCTAAAGCACTAATCAGGAAATTACATAGTTTCCCCTATTAGTGCTTTAGTGCTTTAGGGGAACTGTGCCCACCACTGCGCAGCGACATATGCTCAGTCTGTAGATGTTATATGTTCAGTATTTTTGTTCGTGATCCATGAAATAAATATGAAGTTTTTATTTTTATGGCAGTCCCTGGTAATTAAGCAATAATCTATTTTAATAGTTTTATTATTTTTGTTTCTTTAATATTGTCTAAAACACCATTTTCACCTCTTTTTTATGATTTAACGAGGACGCTAGTCTACATCAATATACATCTGAGTTTAAAATGATTTAAAATGACTGATTTCTTATATTGTTTATGAAGCAGGGATTTAAAATGCACTACTTTTATTAGATTTACCAGACGCATTAGGTGTATTTGTACTAAGTATCAGTTTTGGATCAGTATCACCAGGTGAAGTTTGACTCAGTGTCAGAATTGGAAAGGAAATCAAGGGTATTGAACATCACTTCTTCTGATGTGGCATGGTGCCGTTTCAGTAATAAACCCAATAAACCATAATATTTTTAGCTGAATAACTCTGTAATATGAAACATACACATATGTACATATATATCTAAACTTTCCCTTGAACATATGTACCTTCAGTAGGTATTTGGAYTCATTGTTTAATCTGTAAACAAGTTAAATGAAAGCAGGATTACATCAGCATGAGGTGTGAGTATTTAACGTACTTGTCAGTAACTCCCTGAAGAYTGGACTTCAGTGACACGTCCACATTAATAGTTCCGACAGAGTCCACACTGTGTCTTGTGTGTAATTTTGTGAAAGAGGCKAAGGAGACTTAACGTTTTTTGTTTTTTTCCTGTCCAGCATCTCAGGTGCTGATCTTCTGTCTTTACCGGCCAAAGCACASGGAGTGAGACACAGAGGCATCTTGGGAAATTACCTCACAGACAGACGGCACGTTGAGACTTCATTAGCTCGTCCACAGTCTGATCGAACTGAGCGGCTCTCAAGTAAACAAAGCAAACTCACACAGTGGTTGGGAGCTTGTTTTTATGTGATTTCATTGCTGCAAATGARTGTTTTGGAGTATCTGTGAATGTTTACGTCTGTCAAGAAATTGGACTTTTGTCCCTTATTTTCAGGGGATATATCTGGTATAAATCTGTTTACATGCCACTCAGTGCACTGGCATGCTATAGAACAGGGGTCTGCAACCTTCATGATCAAAGGAGCCATTTCTGCTCCTTGTCTCACTAATCAAATGTGTCCAGAGCCACAAAAAAAGTTACAAGTGTGATTATCAACTGCTGGTCCGTGAGCCTTTTCGAGGCCCTATCGGGAACCTTTATAGCCAGTGGAGTTGATGTTATTCAATAAAAAAATATATTGTCATTTTGATTACTTATTAGTATTTTTACACATCAGGACAAATGAAAAGGCCGTATTCATGTAAACAAGAAAAAATACTGTAGTTTACACCACATTTCATAAAAACCACTACAACTGAACTATTCAGGCATATATTTTTCTAAATCTTATAATATATTCTTTAACTTCTTTAAAGGTAATTCTGATGGGTTCGAGAGAAAGACCATAGAAAAAAAATTGAATATTTAGGTAAACATCAGGCTAACATGAGCTAACGTTTTACATTTTTTTTTACTTTTGTATTAATTGATTTCTGTTGTATGAAAATAAAAAAAATAATATTTTCTATTATGTTTGGTCACATTTTCAAAGAGCCAAACCAGGTGAAAAAATATTATACTAAGTGTACTAAATCTAAGTATACTTTAGTATAMTTGAAGCCACACTAATCATCACTGTACTTAAAGAGCGCTATTTTGGAACAACTAATTTAATACTAAATATACTTTAGTTGTATGTAAGTTGTACAAAAGCACAATTTTAAGTGTATKAAGTATAYTTTTAAATACTAAAATGGAACAACTTCAAATAAACTTAGTACACTTTTAATGCTTATATACTTACAATGTATTAAGTATATTTGAAGTTGTTCCATTTTAGTATTTAAAAGTATACTTCATACACTTAAAATTGTGCTTTTGTACAACTTACATACAACTAAAGTATATTTAGTATTAAATTAGTTGTTCCAAAATAGCACTCCTTAAGTATACTGATGATTAGTGCGGCTTCAAGTATACTAAAGTATACTTAGATTTAATATACTTTAGTATATATATTTTTTCACCTGGACAGTCTTTCAGTGAGCCATGCTTGTGTTGAGGTGAAAGAAMGGAGGTACAAGTCAGAGACTGCGAGTAAACAACACGCAGTATACCTAYACTCGTCCTGCTTCTCTTCCACCGGTCCCTTCTTTCCTGTTCTCTCTCTTCCTACGTCTCAGTGTTCACAATCASTCCTCCGCCAAGATGCTGGTGAGCTAAGTTCTAGTTGCACTTTTTGCATCTCTGCTCAACTTTTTTGTGCCTAAATTGATGATTGGATTGATTAGTGCCACATTATCAAATGGAGGGAGGTCCATCCTCGGCTCGGAATCAAGCAGCTAATTGGCTTGTGCCAAAGAGAGGCTGCRGCTGGAAACTGGAGGGACAGCAGGATCAACATTTTCTTTTAACAATGTGCCTGACTTGAACTCCTTGATTAGCTTGCTGGTTTGGAAATGACCCGGRTGTGAGAACCTCACAGGTCGAGATCGCATCTTAGTGACAAATCCTGGCTGTTTTAGGGGAGAGTAGCTGCTGCTGCTGCACACAGCTGGTTATCTCTCGGCTTTGATCACAATCTTTTCAGACAGATGCATAGAAGTTGCTTTTCCATTAAGCAGCCTTTTGTTGCTTTTTACCAAATGTACAGGGGGGGGAAAAATTCATTGCCACCTGCAGTCAGCAATGCTTTGTTTGAGCTGCACCGAGAGCAAAGCATTTCAAGTCCAAACAACACTGCAGTATTGATTCACTCCACACCTTATTCCATTTTGTCTTCTAAAACATGCCTTTTCACTCTGTTGACTTCTATTCAAAGCTGCCCAAAGACCTGTGTCAATGGGGAAGCTTGACTTCATTCCATAGCTCTGGAAGCCCCCCGGGGCCTAAGCACAGGCTGTTAGACCATGACAGACAGGGGGCTAATAGGCCGGATAGGATTGGATAAAAGAGGAGAARGGGGGTTGTTACAAAAAAAAAAGTTTTAAAACCAGCACACTGCCATCTGCTTTTGTGGTGATGAGCATCAAAGCCTGAAGGAGCTCTGCTGGGTCCCTCTTTCAGATGGCCGGCCCACATATGGGCTTCATATTTCACCAGGACATTCAGTCAGCAAGGCCCATTGGGCCACGGCCGCTATTCTGTCTCCCCGCATGGTTTCCAGGCTTTGAGAAGAGCAGCGAGATGACTTTTACGCCTCCTGAGAAATGTGGCTAATAAATGACCATGCTTGACCCAGAGGATTCAGGCCTACCACCCCCACCTTGCTAAAGGAAGGTACAGACGAAGGGGGGTAGCAGCTCTCTGGTCATGTTACTGTCGTGAAAAATGGTAGAGAAATAGGTCAACGCATGGCTCCAACAACATGCTCCCAGGGTTATTAATTATTAAAGTGACTAATACTACATTTGCCTGGGAGTACCAGGGGCTTCAGTCCACATTTGTGGCACCAAAACAATAATCATCCCTGCTGCATCTTTCATATCTGTCCCCTCCTCCTCACTTTTCAGCCCCGTTTTCATGTCTAATTTCCTCCAACTTTTCTCTTCTTGCCCCTTCCAGATTTCCTCCTTCCTGTTCTGTTTCTYCCTCTTGACAAACGGTAGACCTCATTATCTAATTATGCCTTTTCACTCATTCCTTCCATCTCTGCCCCCTGTTTCCTTTGCCTCTTTCAGCTCCTTCTCTTGTTTCCCCTCTGATAGCATCATAGCCACTGTCTTTGAGCAGGAGACTGGGGAATAAGCGAGAACCTTGATGAGAAATGTGAATGCGAAGGCCAGACACATATATTATCAGTGCTGATGGAAATCAGCCACTCCTGCCTTAACTCTGCTTCTCCTTTGCCTCTTCGCTCGACTTTGCCCGCCTCAAGGTAGCATATGGCGTTTTCTCAGACTGCAGGACTTGTTGGCCTCCCACACAACAGCCTGCATCCATCGCTCCCTCTAACTCACACAGCTCTTTTATGGCCTCTCCAACAGTTATTTTCTCCCATGCCCCCCCCCCCCCTTCTTCCCTGACGCTGCACAGATAGCCCCATCCTTCCACTTTCTATTTTCACACAGCCACACTCCGGCGCCGCTCACTGCAGAGCAGGCTCAGGTCTGGCAGTGGGTGAGAGGGGGGCAGTCGATTGCGGAGGACAGAGTCATTAGTTAAATATTAGCCTGGCTGTGCTCAGTCCCCCCTCCCCCCCACACTTCTAAGGAGGGGCTCGCGAAGCATTCCCCCTCCAAAACAATAGGCCATGAGGGGATGGTTTAGTGTTCTTGTTCTCTATCCGGCGCAGACACAGAATCCAATACCATCAAAACTGATTTGTGTTCATAAAGCACAGCACCTACTGAGAGTGCTAACCCTACCCAGAAGAAGGAATAAAAACAATGAACACTGGCAAAAATATAGACCACTGCAAAGAAGAGAAGATTGTAGATCTGTGTTTTGCTGATTCATCAAATCTGAGCTGAGAGACACAGGACTATAAACTTGAAAGCTTGTACGGTGAAAACTGTGAAACTGATACTAATTTCTTTACATCAGGTACTTATAGGGATATTTTAAAGGAGTMCCAATCAATAGTTCTTCTGGCTTTCTAAAGGTCTTTCAAAGTTTTTCTTTGAAATTTTTTGGGCCACTTTTTGGTTCCAGTTCTTGTAGTTGGCTTTGACAGCACATTGGGCCTGATGCAAGAACCGTTCGTACGCACAGATTTGTTCTTAAGTTGTGCGTACGAGTGATTTAGGAGAATTTGTGGCATTCACCAATGTTTTCGTATTCTAAGATTTTTTTCMGATACGAACAAAATTCACGAGTGGTCCAGACCTGTCGTATATTTTACCAGCAGTCAGTCTGCTGTTATCCAGACGGGTTTTCTTCACTAACTTTATATTTCATTAGTTTGAAGATATTTTGAGTTGAAAATAAATCACACTCCATAATTATGTTGACAATAGGCTATTCTGCTTGAATTAGAGTTATAATTTTAAACGTAATACTTTAGACTAACAATATAAATTGTCCGTCCGGCTGGCTTATCCGCTATTGGGTGCGGGGGCAGCATCAGAAAGACCCCCTCTCCCCAGCGACACCCTCCTTGTCCTGGGGGACTCCGAGACGTTCCCAGGCCAGAGGGGATACATAATCCCTCCAGCGAGTCCTGGGTTTTCTCCAAAGTGCCAGACATATTTTGAAATCATTTTAAAATGCTTATTCGGGGGTGGGGGGGGGGCACGGTGCACAACGGTGTGGCTTCTGAATAAATGAAAATTATTTAACACAGCTGTTTATACTTTTAGCAGCTCTTTTCATTCCACAGCTGACCTGCTAAAAATGACAGATTTTATTTTCTGGATCTCTGACAGACGGACTTCAATCTCTGAACTCGTGAAGTTTTTCTTTTTAATTTTCGCTGTCATTTTCATGAATGGACACTTCCTGATTTCCGAGGCAGGAAACATAGCCTTTTATGGTGTTTTTGGGGTGGTAATTATGCTAATCTCCTCTCGCGTGCACGAGCAGCTGGATACGAACAGGTGGAATTTACGCAGCTCATTTACACACTTTTCCTGAAGATAGAAGAGTTTGTTGAATCTGACATGACATGTTCGTACAAACCCTTCATACGAACAAAAGTAAGAGAAATTTAGGATAAGAATACGAACATGTTCTTGCATGAGGCCCATTGTGACTACAGCATCTGAAAGTCATGACTTTGTGTAGTAAATAAGGAAATATTYGGACTTGAGAGATGCATGTTTTTTTAGATGATTGTCTATATGCCAGTCATCTTGTTGGTGCTAAACTGTATCATCTTTTGT